GATCGGCACGGGAGCTTTGACCTGCTCCGTTTCCGACCTGGGCCGGTTCACTCCTCCTTAAACGACCTGGCGGTCCCGAGCTCACCCAGGAGCACCATATCGATACCGAACTTAGTGCAGACACCCGATCGACATAGTCCACTGCAGTCCAGAAGCCCTGAGCTCAAGCGATCTGCAGCCTCAGCCTCCCAGTAGCTTGGATTACAGGCGCGCACCACTGAACCCGGCGAGAGCTGAGAGAATCAGAGCTGTGGAGAATCTGATCATCACAGCGACCTCTAGTGGAGGAAAACTCACTTTTATAGAAGTGAACTAATGCTTTAATAACCTGTGCTAATCATTCACTTACAATAGCATTATAGTTCACTATTATCCAGCAAGTTTTTACGCAGCGGATGCCCTTCCAGCCGCAACACATCTTTGGGAAACATCCACACACACACACACTCATACACTACGGACAATTTAGTCCACCCAATTCACCTGTACCGCATGTCTTTGGACTGTGGGGGAAACCGGAGCACCCGGAGGAAACCCACGTGAAGGCAGGGGGAAAATGCAAACTCCACACAGAAACTGCGCCACTGCCTCGCCACCTTCACTATTGGAATTCATAACTTGATAATCCATTGTCTGTAATATTTTTTTTTGCATGAGTAAAATTTGCATTTCACAGATTTTTCGTAATAATTAAAACAATGGTAAATCTGATAAATGATTAGAAATGATCCTTATATCAGGGATTATTCATTGCAGTCTTCTTGTTTTGTTTTAATTCATTGATGCAAATTAGGTCTGTAAATCATTTTTCATTATTCTGTAAACATTAAATGAGATCTGAATCACTAACCCTAAACAAAAGAGTTTTTGAATTAGAAACACTCAATAATATGAATCAGCCTTTCAGTTCAAGCCTGCTGCAGTCGCTCTTCTTCTTGGAAAGGTCAGTGCTGATCCTTGTTCTGCAGATTCTGACGTTTTAAATCTGCTTGTGGTGTTTTATTTATTTGTATATGGGTGTAGGGTCCACCCAGTTGGTCCAATGACGGTATCCAATGGTGGATGAAGGTTCACTGCATGTTCGGTCTTTCCAGTGCACAATGTTGATTTATATTAAACTTAACTCATATCTGACTCCAATTTTAGTATGAGATGGTTTAGAATATTAATATATTTATCCTCGTTTTATCTGACTCCAATTATAAAACATTGATAAGATTATTTTGTTTCCTTTCACAATATTTTAGATTATGATTGAATATTCTTTTGATTTGTTATTATACCTTATTCTCATTTACTCAGATTCCTATAGCATCTCGAGTCTTGCACCGGCCGGGTATATAATCTCTTAATACAAGCTTGTCAGTCTTGGTCATTAAACAGAGGCGATTAACCACTCTCCTAAAGTGGCAGAACCCTATACTTACTCAATTTAGGAGATTTTTATGTGGTCCCCATAGATCTGTTATCTACTTGATCAAGACAAAGTATTTTAATAATAATCGCACAGGATTATAAGTTTGTAGATGAAGGCCTAAATACCCACATTTAGATTAGTTTCAACAATATTTTGTTGTTCTAAATAGAAAACTCATAGTTGGCCTTTTACAGTCTAAATACTTGAATTAATGCCAATATGTTAGTCGGATCTCTAGCAACATTGTATAGCGTGCCACACTGCTCCGACTAACATGTTTTATGTCCGTTACTAACCTGTACAGTGGCTTGTAGTGCTATGGACAACAACATTTATCAGTGATAATAACACGAGGACTGTTTGAATAATTCAAAACATAACATTTTATTAGTCAGGTAAATGTGTATTATGCCAATTCAATCAGTCAATTCATAAAAGATCAATAAATACATCAAGTTACCAAAGATAAATCCAAGATTAAAAGATGCATTCCTGACTTTAAAATATACATAACATGGAGCATAAGCTCCATGTTACGGGCTGATCCGGGTAAGCAGAATCGCGCTGAGCCTTTCTCAAACCTTACCTTAAGTAATCCAAGAATTCCCTCAAGGACAGGGGTGTGTGCATAACAAAAGGCACTTGCATTTAGTGCTGCCTGTGGAAAAGTCACACCCTTCACAGTGGTTCAAAAGATGCCTGAAGTTATATATTTATTGTTTTGATTATGTCTATTTCTGAGAGAATGAGACCATTGTACCAATCGCACTGAGACATTTCAAATGATATCAAACATGATAGATAAAGTCACTTAGGTTAATCTGGAACATTCAAACATTGAAATGACCATATGTGTGAGTTGGGGTGGTTGAAGCCGAGTTTCAGCAGACTCAGATGCAAATGCAGCAGGAATTGGTTTTTCCCGCATTCCCACCTGCTGGGTTGTGGTCAACAGTCTCTGTTGTCAGCTCATGTTTTGAATTGTCAAAGACATCAAAAATATTTGTAATATTTCAATTCTTACATGGGCTTATTTTTGTGATGAAGAAACCCACAGTAATGATAATAAACGAGTGGATTGTGACAGATCCACAGATGCTTTCAGATTTGTGCTCATCATCTATGAGATTTATCCTTTCTCTTTTTTTATTACAGGTTTTTACAATTGTTTTGCCACAAATTTCAGAACTTTGGTGTCAATTTTCAAAAGTCTAGACACAAAATTCACAACCTTTGCCAAAATTGTACATTTTTGCAAAACTTTTAACTCTTTTTTCAAATGCTTGGATACAACACACACAAGTCAAACATACTTTATTCATTGAACTCAGATCACCTTTTCAATATAACACAATTAAACTTCAAATTGATCCCATTTCAAAATGCAACTCAAACATTACATTTGAAATAACCATGTATTCATTTACTTCACATGATCTTATTATCAACTGATACAAGCACTCAAAATGATGAATAACTGCTGCATTATTGTTCATGTGGGGAAACTGATGTACAATATTACATGTTTAGATGATGAAATAATCAGGATAGATCAAATGACATCAGTTACCACAGAAGATGACCCAACTGAACTACATTACAGTTTTTCTCGATTGCTTGGATGCAGTTGTCAACTGAAACTCCACCTTTTCAAAACAGTTAACACACAGCCCTAAACAGCAGTACTCATGGTCAAAATGACACATTATGCTTGCAAAAGGCACACATCGTGTCAAAACATTTCACATATGCAACAAAAGCTAGTTTTACCTTCAAACAACACAACTTGCAAACAAGTATATGAGCTCTTTCAATTAATCATTACACAATGCACAACAAAATACAAAACTCAAAATGCACCACCATTGCTTGCCATTGTAGCTTATAGCCAATGGCATTTGTTGTCTCTATTTGGGCTGTCAAATTCGCCTTTTTGCAAATAATTGGATCAAGAATAAGATGTGCTTTGATTGAATTCATATTGAATTCATGACATTTTTCAAACTGTGGCTGAAAACTGAAATACTGTATATAAAAAAAAAAACAGACAAACGTAATAAAATACTGTAAATATTAGAGAAAACACATCTAAACTAATATACAGTCAAATCTATTGGGAGTATAGGACATAGCCATATTGACCTCCTCCATCAATGCTGGCACAGAACTACACAGACCTTCCATCGTTTTTATAAGGTTTGCAGACTGATGGCTAATTGAAAATTTGTGTGAAGCAGTGTCAAACCGGTGCTTCAGTGATTTCATATTGATGTTGGTAGTTTTTAATAGTTAGGAATAGATGGATTCTGATTGGTTACCAAAACTAAAACAATGGAGTTTGGACTGCTTGAATGACATCTGTGTTAACTTTTTGGAAAAATGGTGGGGAAAATGTGTCAACCCAATGAGAAAGGGTTTACACATTTGCAAGACCGGTCCTCTGCTCTGCTGGGATAGTGATAATGAAAATGAAGAGGAACCTAGTTTCTTTAACCAGGTCAAAGCAAACTAGAAAAACTGTATCTATAGATGTCTTTATTCATCCTTAGTCCATATTTATGGTTTCTTTGTTCTGTGTACCACTTTTACAGACAATGTTTATATATTTGACATTACTGTAAGAAAGCCCAGTCACAGCAGACCAATGTCAGGCCTGGATTTACATTGACAGAAGGTTCTTTCCAAGATTTCTGAGTAATGAAAACACCACTGAAATGTAGAGGAGAACCCGTGACCAAATCCACAAGACCAGACTGATGGTAACACAAAATCCCAAAATAGAAATCTGATATATAGAAATATATGCAAATTACATATGTGACATAATAGTTCATATGAATTTTACATATATAAAATATGTTATACATGTCAAAATATTGCCATTTGTTAAAATATTAGAATTACAAATATGTAGATATATGTTACGTATATATATGATCCATTATGTTATATATTTTACCCCTACAAATATATATATATGATATGGTTGAAAAAAATATAAACAATGATTTTTTTCACTATTTTGACAAATTATTGACTATTATGACATTTTATAATAATGTAATTTGCAGATGGGACCATATATCATGCCATTTATCAGCTTTCTATATGGGGACGTGAAGTGAGAAAAAAAATACAGTAAACCTACATTATGTTGGAATGAATAAAACTAGTTCGGTATATCCACTGTCTGCACTGTTTCCCTTTACACTTATAGACCGTAATGAAACCTGTATCATATATTTTAAACAACAATATTTAATGATTGTTAATGATTGTTTATTGAAGCGATGTACATCTTGTGTGCTGCTGGTGATCTAAAGTAGTGTTCCTGTAGTATTTGTATTATAAAAGGATTATGTGAACCAATGATCCTGCAAATGCAAGACTTCTTTAAGGGAATGAATGCTGTATGCAGAACACTGGAGAGTGTTAAAAGTAGTGACTGTTTAGGATTTTGTGTCTAGAGTTTTTTTAATTGACATCAGGGTTCTGAAATTTGTGGCAAAACAATTGGAAAAAAACTGTAACACATAATGAAGATCAAGGGCAAACAAATAAATGATGAGCTTAGAGAGTTTTAAATCATTTTAACATACAGAGATGAACATTTGTAGAAAATACATTTAAAGGTGTTTTTAAAAAGTGTTAAATTACTTTAAAACGGAAAAACAAATCGCCAATAGGTGGCAGCAAGAGACCTCTTTAATCGAGTGAAGCTTTAAGTGATTCATTCAGCCACGAATCACTGATTCAGTGACTCGCCCGACTCTATACAGAGTCCTGAATCATTCGTGTAAGGAAACGCCACTGTGTATTATTCAGAGATGGCCAACTGTTCTGCTGTTTATTTTATTATTATCATAGTAATGATTTCACTATTATTAATGAGAAAATAACGCGGAAGTTTTTAGCGCCTTGTCACGTGATCGTCAACATCCATGGCAACGGTTCTATTTGTGTTGTTTTGAACTTCGCTCATTGGCATCTGATCTCGGCGTCCTTCTTGGCTACTGATTCCCAGATTATTGATTGTTGGATACATCGATTGATCGTCTGCTTCTCCCATCATTCAGGTTTGACCCTTGTTATCACACTGTGGTTTGTATTCAGTATGTCTTGTGTTCATTACAGGTTTCAGAGTCGACTCACCTACGACTCGCTCCAGTTTGAGGGCCTCAACATCACTGCGGGAGAGCTGAAGCGGCAGATCATGAGGCGCGAGAGGCTGAAGTTCTGCCAGCTGAAGATCAGCAAAGCCCAAACTGATGAAGGTGAGATGAGGAAAAGCCACTTAAACTATACTACACTAACATTAGATGTGTTATCAGACAGACTTGTAGAAGCTGACATGTGTTATCATGACTCTGATGGTGACATATAGTGATGTTTTGAGTGTTTTAAAATGCTAATGGCACTCAAAGTATACTATGGTAAATGATTATTAATATATAAACTTTATTTTGCTGTCAGAATACACAGATGATGATGCTCTCATCCCCAAAAACATGTCGGTCATCATCAGACGGGTCCCTGCTGCTGGACTGAAGTCCTCCAACAGAAGATTTGTTGGGTAAGTCATGTGAAATGAGCGCAATCATCCTCTGATAGATGTTATATCAAGAGTTTGAGTCTGTCTGTGGTGTTTTAGTCACACAAGCTCCTTTGTTTTGCAGCCATCAAGCTGGACCATCAGCTAAATCTTCTCAAACTGGTGATTCTTCACTCCTCTCACTGGAGCAGCTGTTGAAGGTATTGAACAACTGATTAATTCACCCCACTGTGCTGCTCTGTATTGAACTGCAGTGTTTGCATTTGAGGCGTCATAATGACATGTAGTGCAGAATATCAATACACAGTGTAAAACACACAAACGCACACACACACACACACACACACACACACACACACGCACACACACACGCACAGCTTCTTAGGCAGACCAGTAAAATAAAATTCTAATGTGCAAATGCCTGTGAAACAGACTGAGAATCTGGCTGAGGCAAAGGCATCAGAGGAGGACAAGCTAAAAGCGGTGATGTACCAGTCCAGTCTGTGCTACTACTCCAGCAGGTGAGCGTTCAGACACTGACAGGTTTGGTTTGTGAGAAATGTTAGAGCTGATTCTCATGGTTCTGATGTTCATCAGTGAGGCCATGACACTGCTTGGGCTTCTTCCACCCAACTATGTCTGCTTTCACTGTGGGATCCCAGGACACCACATTAGGCACTGCCCCTCTAAAGGGGTAACTGGGTTTTCTAAGCTTATGGTTGCTGTGAACTTGAGCTCTTGTCTCCATCAGTCAGATTGTTTGCTCTGTCGTTTGACTGTCACTCATGAATTCACAGGGCAGCAGCTCTGCTTCGCACAAGCGCATCAGGAGGAGCACAGGGATTCCCCGCAGCTTCCTGTTGGAGGTGGACGACCCAAACCGAAAGGGAGTCATGATGGACGGCAGCGGCAAATACGTCATTCCCATCATAGACGCGTGCGTAAACTGTACTTGGCATTGCAGCATGTTCTAGTGTTTGTGAAAATCTCACATTATGTCTGCTTGTGTGTGTTTGCGCTCGATCTGTTCAGTGAGGGCTATGCTGCTGAGAAGAAAAAGAGGCCGTCCTTCTCCTGCCAGACCAAGCCGCTGTCCTCCTCTTCCTCAGCTGGTGCAGCATCTTCAGTCCAGGACGCCAGAGGGAAACGTTCCCGCTCCCCATCTCCACCAGAGACGCACGGCGACCAGAAGAGACCACGTCACTGAGAGACCTTCACCCAAGAGACCTGGAGCCGACGTGAGCACAGTGTATATATTGTACATAGTTTATGAATAAAACTGAATAAAGATTATAGCAGCATAAACTGTGGACTGGTTGACCTTCACACAATACAGAAACACAACAGAAAATGATCAACACATTAAGATAGAAATGATGAACAAAACATGCTGCGGGAGAACCAGTGTGCTGTCCTGCTCACAATCTAAAACTTTTAGTTAAAGTCTATTTCAGAGGTGCTTCAGGGAAACTTTTGCTTATGAAAGGCCAAAAACTAAACTCGTCTGAGGGTGGTGGGCTGGAGGTAAATCTACCAAACTGTAAAATTGTCAATGTAATTTCCTAGTTTATTATTATTATTCATTATATAATTTACATGATTCACTGAATACTGTAATTTACAACATTTAAAATTCTTTAATTGTATTAATAATTATACATTTTATAATGAATGAAAGTCTTACAATAAAACATGAACAATCCCATTTATGACACTAAAATACACTTTGCCTTCGCTTGCTGATGTCTTCTGTGATGTCTGCTCTCCTTCAAGTGACTATTATTTTATTTGATTCATTCACAATATTTCATTGAAACGTTTAATTTCAGTTTGTTTATTTTTGTATCTCAACAGTTAAAAAACAAAGTTATGTTGTATTAGAAATGACAATCTGTGTTAAAGACTTTCCCCCAAAACTCCCCATCATTCTCCCTCTCTTCTCAGATGGGATGGAGGGCCAAATCAAAGGTTACAGTGGATCCACTTTGGCCCACGGGCCCTAGTTTGGGCATCTCTGGTTTACACCGATGACATGCTCATCTAATCAATCCTGGCCAAACAAAATGTTGCAGCTCATCTGGTCTTCAATGATCCCAAGAGAGCCCACGTCACACCTCTCTTACCTCTCCACTTACACTGGCTGTCAGCTGAAGGTTTAAAACATCTCCACTTGCTACTTGCTACACTTGCCCCTCTGTCCAGAAGTGAGCACTGCCTCTTAGAACCATCCCATCAAGGATTTGGGGTGTTTAACCCTTCTGTGCTGTTGGTGAAGTTTTGGTCCACTCTGGGCTGATTTTGAGGCTTAATTTACCAACAACTTTCTCTGTGGTTCAGCAAATGGGATGATTTTTGGTGACAAATCTTGTTGACACATATTTTGGGAAAATACTTTTAGAATTTTTTTAAAACTCAACAATACACTCTGGGCAAATTTACCACCCTTTCATTGTGTTCATGGCTGTTTTTGCCCAAATGATTTCCATTATTTTTAAATGCAACGTCATGACAGCGTATAATCATGCATTCTTGATTGTTGGTGGTTTTTCCTGTTGGGAAGAGGTAAGATTTGTGATTTTTGCTGGTGATCATCAGTTACAGTTCAAAAAAGCTTGATTTCTTGCTTTTATTTGGTGTTTAGTGAGTGTGTGAGGTTGTAAGAGAGACTTTTACACACATATATTGATGTGTAGGAGAAAATACAAAATAGGCACCTCAGCTGTCAGAACATAGTAAACATAGTAAGTGTACTTATGCATGTACTCTATAAATTGCAGTTTTACTCCACAGAACTCCATATAAAAGTCAGACACGCTTTTGCACGGGGCAATGTGAAGGATTTAATGGTGCCAACTGATGATCAACAGTAAAATTGAAATTTGACCTCTTCCTAAGTGGGAACCCACTAACCAGAGTTGCTGCTGGTCAAAAGGAGACCCTAAGATAATTTTTACTGCGGTGCTTCAGCAGAGAAACAAAAACACACAAACATATGTATTTAAATGTGTATTCATTTATTATATATAAAAATATGCATATAAACACTCAACATTAAATGTTTCATAAAATAACAGTTTACGTCAAACACTGACATGTCTTCTGCAGAAGGATTCCTAATTGCAAACATTTACAAAGGTTGTCATAAAACCCTGTCTGAAGCTGTGGAGATAGACGGTCCTCGGTGCTGCATGCTGTATCTGTAACGGTCAGCTGCTGGGCCCGTTTTTTCAAAAGGTTTAATCCGGATCAAATTGATCCAGATTTAGTAATTCTGTTTTTGCGATCCGTGATCAGGTAATCCAGCTTACTTTTTGAGCCAGTTTTTCAGAGCAACATCGAATTGGATCAAACTGATACGGATAGGAACTTTTCAGAATCACTAAATCTGGATTACCAGTGCTCAAACAGGATAGGAAATCACAATGTAGAACTATAGATATGTAAAGAGCGACAAGTAGAATAGCCAGCGTGGGGTCAACATAACTTTATATTTTTTTTAAAATGAAAACTTATTAAATATTAAATTAATAGTAATAATAAATAATAAAAGCAAGAAAAACAACACCGCATCCTCTTCCAGCAGTCCACTCATCTGAGACCTGAAACACTGTACATTGAGGATATTTATAACAAGTTTTCAAATATAGATGTAAATAAAAAAAAGACTTAATGTCAAAAACTCCACAATAATCTCAGACTTCCTCATCTGATGTGGAGAGAGCAGCTTGTCTGAGCGTAGCCTTTAGGAGGCGGATCTCAAGTCCTTGGCCTTGGTTTGCTGCAGTTTGGTCAGAGTCAGTTGTTCCCCCGCCAGACGAAGCTGTGCTTCTGCCCTTTCAGTCTCTTTTTGCAATTGTCAAAAGAGATTTCAAAAATCAGTCATTGCCATTCTTTGCATTTTTTGTTTATTCTGTAATCATTGCATGCATCACTAATAAATATTCTAAAAAGAAAAATATTTTTCATTGTGATGAATATATATATCAATTAGTGACAAAATAAAATTGATTGTTTTTGGTCAATTTTGACAGCTGTTTGGGGGATTATTTTATGAGGCCAAACTCTTTCTATGTTGCTGGAGGCCTATACTGAAAGGCTAAATACATTAAAGCCAATAATCACTATAGCCTGACGGATGAACAAATAAAATTAAAACCTTATGAAAAAATAGTATATATCGTAAGATACTGCATGATCCAAAAATAGTATTATTTAATACATTTTTTAAGTTTTCATTACATTTTAGGCATTAAATCCACGCTAAATCCACCCTTCTGATGGGATTAGTTTAATCCAGGTTTTTTGGATCAAAGTGATCCAGATCCTACAAAAAAAAGTTCTGAAAAACCCAAACTAAAGGTTTGATCTGGATCAAAACCAAGATTAGATTACGTGATCTAATCCGATTAGGTAATCAGTTTTTTTCTTTTGATAAACCCATTTTTAAGATTTGATCCAATCCCTTATCCAAAATCCTAGTGGATTACTTTTGAAAAACCGGGCCCTGGTGTCAATTTTCAAAACTCTAGATACAAAATTCACAACCATTGCAAAAATTGCACATTTTTTTGCAAAACCCTTAACTCTTTTTTCAAATGCTTGGATAAAACACACACAAGTCAAAAATACTTTGTTCATTGAACTCAGATCACCTTTTCAATATAACACAATTAAACTTCAAATTGATCCCATTTCAAAATGCAACTCAAACATTACAATTGAAATAACCATGTATTCATTTACTTAACATGAAGTTATTATCAACTGATACAAGCACTCAAAATAATAATTAACTGTTGCATTACTCTGGGTGTATGGAAACTTTTGTACAATATTACATGTTTAGATGATGAAATAATCAGGATAGATCAAATGACATCAGTTACCACAGAAGATGACCCAACTGAACTACATTATCTATAGATGACATCTTTATTCATCCTTAATTTTTTATATTTATGGTTTCTTTGTTCCATGTACCACTTTTACAGACAATGTTTTTATATTTGACATTACTGTATGTATGTGAGAAAGCTTAATCACAGCAATATCAGGCCTGGATTCACATTGACAGAATGTTCTTTCCAAGATTTTTGACTTATGAAAACACCACTGTG